TTTCTGATCTAAATATATTCATATACACATATTACTCTCCTACATACCATATACAAACATACTTTGTTTTTGTTTTTGAATATTGGTTCTTTTTTTTCTTTTTTGCTGATAAAAAGCTTAAGTTAGGTTACCACTGTCATAATTATATTACAAGTTGAAAGAGCAATAAAGCTTCGATTATATAATTCTTTTCTAAGTTAAGCTGCCAAAATGCAAGATATTGATAAGTTACAAGATTACAAGGGAAAAAATACATAAAAAGTTAATTGCGTATTTAAGTATATTAGGTGAATGACTGATAACATGATCCGAGACACAGATACCGAACTATTTGGGTAAATATTCAAAGGGGGAATGGTGCTAAATAGATGCACTGACTTATTACATAAACTGGTATTTTTTTTCATTATTCTAATTATATTCCCGTACATCTGTCACCTCTGCTATTTATGCAGAATTCTTATTTTTCCTCTATTCTGAATGTTGTAAGTACAAACACCGAAATATTAACTGATATATATATATATATATATATATATATATATATATTATATATATATATATATATATATATATATATATATATAAGAGGATGATAGATGTAGCAGATACGGACTTGGCTTAGTACAACCATTTGAATTTGTTAAAACAACCGAATCTAAAATAAATGGAAGTGGAAAACCTCCATATGAGTCTCAGCTTACAGTAAAGAAAGACTTGTGCAATAACATTTATACCGCTGTAAAACTGATTTTTTTCCCGTTTAAGTTTAATACCCAAAAAACTAAATCGTCACATAGTAGCTAACGTCACGTGATCACATGGCGAGAAAATAGTGCCGGGCCTTTGGCGCTGTGAAAGTAGTAAATGGCAATTTTCAGTCCCATGCAATAATTACAGTACTCTTTTATAGTGTAGTATATATTACCAGTAGTATGTACATAAAATGTGCTTTAATCCTCTCTCTGTCTCTATTTCTCTTAGTCTGTGTCTGTTGTTTCTCTCTCTCTCTCTCTCTGTCGTCTCTCCTCTCTCTCTCTCTCTCTCTCTCTCTCTCTCTCTCTCTCTCTCTCTCTTCTCTCTTATATATATATATATATTATACTATATATATGTGTGTGTTTGTGTGTGTGTGTTGTGTGTGTGTGGTGTTGTGTGTGTGTGTGTGTGTTGTGTGTGTGTGTGTATTTTTATATTTATGTGTTTATATATGCATATACTTATATATCTGTACATATGTGTTTATATATGTATATATGTTTATATATATATATATAAGTATATATATATATATAAATATATACTATATATATATATATATGTACATACACACATACATATATGTATATATATGTGTATAAACACACACACACACATGCACACATAATAGGGACAGGATTCAGCTTACAACATTACTGAAAATTGAGCTGGATGCAAAACACATTAAGAAATAAAGATATAGATAAATAAATTGAATTAAGTGGAGACAAATAAAATTAGAAAAACTGATACGCAGAACATGCAGAAATATATAGAAAACAATACGTGGACCAATTGCTCAATAAAGATGAACTAATAAAACTTGCAAAATACATAGTCTCCTGAATGTTTGATACTACGATACACAATAAGCCTCAAATAACAGTAAAAGATCCTTCTCCATAATTTAAGAAATAATTTGGAAATCTGGCAGAACTCGAACTCAGTTTTAACCGAAATGAAACAAGCGAAAATTGTCAGTCATGGCGCAAAACTACTGGATCCTAATGTACATGAGATTTAAACCCATCCAATTCCAGGCNTCAGGTCAAACCGACTTTTGCAGATTACTGGTTAACCCGAGAAAGCAACGAGAAATCAGATGGTCACATGGCGCAAACTTACCCTTTGACACGCCAGTGGTAAAGGGAGCCTTTTTAGTGGGCAATTCCAGTTGTAGAAATCACTAGTACCGCGAAGACACGACCACAATATCTGGCAGTTTTTGCTCCGAGTAGGACGAGAAAGGAGACCGGCGCTATTTAAACGTCGCCTCGACGAATCAGTGCCAGATACTATTAGACTCACACTTTTGACAGGAAAATGTAATGCAAAGACTCTTTCTATCTCGTTTCAACTATACACATCTTACGTTCATATCTATAGAATGTTATTTAGATATGAAGGAACATTATTTTGATGCTTTTAAACTAATTTCAAAGTATGATGCAATCGGGGAGGGAATTCCCCCTCAGGACGCCGCCGCAAGGGAGGCGTAGTCAGGCTGGAAAAGCTCGAACGTTTTGTGTGGAATGTGGCGGCCGAGACGGAGACGATGCTTTTCTCTCTTTGCTTTACTCTAGTGATCAGTGGGAAGGCAGAAGAAAATGTATGTGTGTTTGTTCGTGCGTGCGTGCGTAATAATAATAGGTTGACGTAGAGGTTGAGGGATTGGGCTTCTTTCAGTAATTAGTGTGCTTAGCTCAGAGTAGCTTGGAGTTGTCCAGGCGTCCTAAGCAGTATTTTCGGCTCCTTCGTGTTTCGTCTTTAGCGGTTTTACTGAAGAAGATTCCTAAGTTGCGTCTGTCAGACTGTCTGTCTGTCTCTCTGCCTGTCCATTTGTGTATCAGAATGAATGAGACATGCACAGAGGAGGGAGAGAGAGAGGGAGAGAGAGAGAGGAGAGGAGAGAGGGAGAGAGAGGGAGAGAGAAGGAGAGAGAGAGAGATAGTGATTGTGATTGTGATTGTGATTGTGAAGCATATGGGTGTGGGTGTGTTTCGCAGGTTCACCCCATTTGGCTGACATCCCGCCCAGCCGCAGTCAGCAGAGGAAGGAGGGCTTACGAGTCATTTCCAAAGTGATGTAACATCGGCGGGAAGCTACGGGAAAGAGCACTGACTTCCACGTCATTGTGACACGCGGTTATCGGAGGCGTTTCTTGGTCAAGTGCAAATGAGGAGAGAGAGAGAGAGAGAGAGAGAGAGAGAGAGGAGAGAGAAGGAGAGAGAGAGAGAGAGAGAGAGAGAGAGAGAGAGAGAGAGAGAGAGAATGAATAAGAGAATAAGAGAAAGATTGAGAGAAATAGAAAGATTGAGAGAGAGAGAGAGAGAGAGAAGAGAGAGAGAGAGGAGAGAGAGAGAGAGAGAGAGAGAGAGAGAGAGAGAGAGAGAGAGAGAAAATTTGAATTGCAAATCGTGCAAAAAGCCAGGGGAAGATCAAAGCACCGTAATGCACATTTTATGTAGTGACTTATTTAATCACCAGAGAAAACTGATATCTAAATGTTTACGTTTAACGTAACCGACACACTTAAGTGTAGTAAAAAGCATCTCTTATCTCTCTCTCTCTCTCTCTCTCTCTCTCTCTCTCTCCGTCTCTCTCTCTCTCTCTCTCTCTCTCTCTCTCTCTCTCTCTCTTTTCTCCTCTCTCTCTCTCTGATTTTTTTCTCTTTCTCTCTCAGATTTCTTTATCTCACTCTGAATTTCTCTTCTCTCCCAGGCGCGATTTCACCCTCTCCTCTCTCTCTCTCTCCCTCTCCTCCTCTCTCTCTCCTCTCTCCTCTCTTCTCTTCTCTCCCTTCTCTATTCTCTTTCTCTCTCTCTCCTCTATTTCTCTTTCTCCTTGCTCTCTCTCTCTCCTCTCCTTCTTACTCTCTCTCTCTCTCTCTCTCCTCTCTCTCGTCTCTCTCCTCTCTCTCTCTCTCTCTCTCTCTCTCTCTCCCTCTCCCCTCCCCTCCCTCCCTCCTGTCCCCCCCTTCCCTCTTCCCCCTCTCTCTCTCTCTCTCTCTCTCTCTTCTCTCTCTCTCTCTCTCTCTCTCTCCTCTCTCTCTCTCTCTCTCTCTCTCTCTCTCTCTCTCTCTCTCTCTCTCTCCTTCCCCCTCCCCCGCTCCCCCCTCTCTCTCTCTCTCTCTCTCTCTCTCTCTCTCTCTCTCTCTCTCTCTTCTCTCTCACTCATCTCTCTCTCTCTCTCTCTCTTCTCTCTCTCTCTCCTCTTCTCTCGCCCCCTCTCCCCCTCGTCTCTACTCTCTCCTCTTCTCTCTCTCTCTTCTTCTTCTCTCTCTCTCTCTTCTCTCTCTCTCCCTCTCTCTCTCTCCTCTCTCCTCTCTCCCCATGCGTTGAATAGGAGGAGGGGGATCTATGAAATTTCAATGAAATTATCATGTATATAGACAGGCTTTCAATAATTTACATTTTTTTGGTATTTTCAAATTGTTGATTTCTAAATAACCATGATGTTCTAAATATGCACTTAAAATCATGCTCAATCACTTTATTTTTTTATGCAGAACGTGCATATATTATCATCATTATTTTAAAGCCCCGGGAAAGACAACGTCCCGCTGAACGGCTACCACTGGAAACTTGCATTTCCCTTCATCTTGTCCTTGTTGCGTTTCATAGTAAAGATGAAAGGGTGTTTATGCAAACGTTTACGAGACGAAGACGAGCTTTGAGATGATTCGCGTCTTCCCGTCCGGGCCCCGCGATGACGGAAGAGCCAGACGGTAACAATGCAACATCATCGTTTCTTATCATCCACTTCTCTTTAAAATGCAAAACATCATCCTCTTCTCTTTATTTCCCCTTCTCTCCCTTCTCGTTTTAAGTATTCATCTCCTATTCTTCTCTCTCTCTCTCTCTCTCTCTCTCTCTCTCTCTCTCTCTCTCTCTCTCCCTCTTCTCTCTTTCTCTCTCTCACCACACACAACACAACTATACACACACACACACACCACCACACACACCACACCACACCACACCCACACACCACACACCACACACACACACACCCACACACAACAATGCTGCATTTATTTATTGTCTATTATTTTTTCACTTGTTTATATATGTATATGTATTTCTATATATTTATGTATATGTATATTTATATATTTATATATATGTATATCTGTATATTTATATATATGTATATCTATATATTTATATATCTATGTGTGTACTTTTCTTAATTGTCTGAGGTGAAATATAGTTCATTGTTTTAGGTCAAGGAAACACAAGTTAAGCCTCAAAAGTTTATTTGCTTTCCCTCCCCTCCCCCTCTCGCCGAGTGCGATCTCGAGAGTTGGGACTCGAAGTCTGGGGTTAGAGGATGACGAACCTCTGGAGGCTTTGCTTGCCTCTTGTGGGGATTTTGTGGGGAGACTTGTGGCTTCCTTACTCTGCCTCTCTCCCCTCTCCCCTCTTCTTGTACTCTAGTTGTGTTGTTCCATTTCCGTGGTTTGTTCCCTGGCAGGAACTGTTCCCAAAAGAGAGGTGACCTTTGTGCTGTGTAGCGCCGGAACTGGTTGACACGCCCTCCGCTCGAGAGCCGCCACTTGGACTTCGTGCTAGTGACGTCTGTTGTCTTGGGATCCTCAAGGCTGATCACTCATTGCCGAGACCACACTTACGCCTTCCAGGTTGGCCGAGGCCGGCCTCCGTGTCCCCGCGGCGCCGTGGCCACGCCTCTGGCCGAACCACTTGCCAAAGTCGCGTCTTGGCATTCGCAGTGGGTGGCGCGAGGCGGGTCGGCGGCGCGCGAGAGCTGTGAAGGGGCCCTCCGAGGCGCTCGTCGACGGGTCCAAGTGTAATCGTCCGTTTCGAAGGACCTGTTTCCAATGTCTGGTATTGGATTTGCTGACACAGGTCGGGTCGGTATAGTCCGTTATACGAGGACCTTTACCGTCCTGCCGATCCTGCAGGAGACTCTTCATGCAGGTTCTGATGTAAGCGTCCATGCCCTATGGACCTGCCTATCCAAGGTCGCGTCTCGGATTTCTCGCTGACGGGTCGAGGATTCACGAGCCGTTAGATCGGGACCTGATGCGTCCGTCCCCTCCAGGTCTGCTTGGTGCGAGCCTGGGCGTCGAGTTGGTCAGCCGTGGCGGTGCCCCCGGACAGTCGTCTGTCTGCGGAATGAGGAGGAGAAACGTTAGGTCACGGCTGGGCCTCAGGGGAGAAGCGCAGAAGGTGTGGCAGACGCAGCACAGAGGCGTGCGTTTTGTTGGCTTTTGCAGAAGCGGTAAAGGAGGGTCACGCCTGCAGGAATACTGACCTGTTACTTGAAGGGCAGCCGGCGTGTTGGTGTTTTGCGTGGGTGGCGGAGGTGCGTTTACGGAGGCCCATGTGTTGCGGCGGCCTCCTGGGAGCCCCTCCTGGTCAGGAAGTGGCCAGGAGGGGCAGCTTCCTCTCATCCGTTGTCGCACTCCACCGATGCAGAGCGTCAGCATCTCCGCTGAAACACCTGTGAGCGAGGTTGGAGGGTTAGCACGAGGAGGAACTAGTCCGAACGAAAGCGGTTTATTGTTCGTAGTTTCCATGGCAACCTTATATATATATATATATATATATATATATATATATATATATATATATATTATATATATTAATATATTACATATATATGTATATGTATATGTATATAAATATATGTATATATGTATACATATGTAGGTGTGTGGGTGTGTATTTATGTATGCATGTGAATATATATATATATATATATATATATATATATATATATATATATATATATATATATATATATATATGTATGAATGTCTATAAATATGTATATATGTATATGTATACATATAATGTATATGTGTAAAAGCGTCTCTCTATATTTGTATTAATATATATACATATGTACACACTTTGTATATATGCATTTATAAATATAAATATATTTATATATGCACATACACATGCATATATATATATATATATATAATAATATTATATATATATAATATATATATATATATATAATATAATATATATATATATATATATATATATATATATATATATATATATATATATATATATATGTGTGTGTGTGTGTGTGTGTGTGTGTGTGTGTGTGTGTGTGTGTGTGTGTGTGTGTGTGTACATACACACATACATGAGTACATTTAAACATACACGTGTATCTATATACATATTGGTACAAATATACTTACATGTATTTGTATATGTACATATATTCCCCCATATAAGCATAGACGCACTGACACGTATATTTCTTTACCTTTCAACTCGACGAATCTCTTTTTCCTCCGATGACGAAATCGCATCTGTTCTCGCTCCTCCTGCCGGGTCTCCTGCAGAGCTCGTCCAGCGATATCCTGTGCGTGTCTCATGGTGGTCCTTCAGGGGAAAACAAGACAGATCAGTGGTGCTCTCCAGGTGCGGCGTTGCTCTGCCTTCGGGTTTGTCCACAACTCGAAAATGGATTTAGAGCAAACGCCTTACGAACACAGCAGTGTGTAGGTTTCCCTTTGTGCATAGATATTCCCTTGTGGTGTTTTAGATTTTTATGAGGATTATCAGAAGTGTAGCTACTTTTAGCTCGATAAAAGAGAAAGTAACTGTGGGACGTCAAGCTGTGCGAGATGACGTCACGGTCAGCCCGGTAAGCTTCCATAGGTGTCGTGTGAATACCAGTGTATAAGAATAGGAACTTTGGCGTATGTTTTGTCAGAAATTGAAGTGTTTTCAGGTCAAACCGACTTTGCAGATTACTGGTTAACCCGAGAAAGCAACGGAGAAATCAAGATGGTCACACTGGCGCAAACTTACCCTTTGACACGCCAGTGTAAAGGGAGCCTTTTAGTGGGCAATTCCAGTTGTAGAATCACTAGTACCGAAGACACGACCACAATATCTGGCAGTTTTGCTCCGAGTAGGACGAGAAAGGAGACCGGCGCTATTTAAACGTCGCCTCGACGAATCAGTGCCAGATACTATTAGACTCACACTTTTGACAGGAAAATGTAATGCAAAGACTCTTTCTATCTCGTTTCAACTATACACATCTTACGTTCATATCTATAGAATGTTATTTAGATATGAAGGAACATTATTTTGATGCTTTTAAACTAATTTCAAAGTATGATGCAATCGGGGAGGGAATTCCCCCTCAGGACGCCGCCGCAAGGGAGGCGTAGTCAGGCTGGAAAAGCTCGAACGTTTTGTGTGGAATGTGGCGGCCGAGACGGAGACGATGCTTTTCTCTCTTTGCTTTACTCTAGTGATCAGTGGGAAGGCAGAAGAAAATGTATGTGTGTTTGTTCGTGCGTGCGTGCGTAATAATAATAGGTTGACGTAGAGGTTGAGGGATTGGGCTTCTTTCAGTAATTAGTGTGCTTAGCTCAGAGTAGCTTGGAGTTGTCCAGGCGTCCTAAGCAGATTTCGGACCTTCGTGTCGTCTTTAGCGACTGAAGAAGATTCCTAAGTTGCGTCTGTCAGACTGTCTGTCTGTCTCTCTGCCTGTCCATTTGTGTATCAGAATGAATGAACAGGCACAGAGGAGGGAGAGAGGAGGGAGAGGAAGAGAGAGAGAGGAAGAGAGAGGGAGAGAAGGAGAGAAGAGAGATAGTGATGGATAGTATGAGTGATTGTGATTGTGAAAGCATATGGGTGTGGGTGTTCGTAAGGTCATCCCCATTGGCTGATCTCCCGCCCAGCCGCAGTCAGGCAGAGGAAGGAGGGCTACGAGTCATTTCCAAAGTGATGTAACATCGNCTTGACCCCATTGCAATTTTCCCCTCTTTTTACTAAGTCCCTTCATTAGGCTCCATGTACTAATACGCATTTCACTATCCTTTCTAAATGGAGAAATTCAGACTCATTATGACAATGGGGCTTTCGAATTTCCCTAAAAAGCTTGTAACACATTCGCGATCCAAAATCGTATCATCATTGATCTACAAACTACCTTAGAATGGAATGATAGAAAGAGATGTAGACTTGATTATGAGTAGAATACAAGTCATAGTTTGTTTATTTGTTTGTTTGTTTGTGGATGATAGAAAGAGATGTAGATTTGATTAATAAGTAGATACAAGTCACAGTTTATTTATTTATTTATTTGGTTTTTTCAAACTACCCTAGAATGGATGATATAAAGAGATGTAGATTTGATTAATTTTATTTATATTATATATATATAATTAAGTATTTATTTATTTATTTGTTGTTTTTTTCAAACTACCTAGTATAGGATGATAGAAAAGAGATGGTAGATTTGATTAATTATTTATTTATTTATTATATATATAATAAGTTTTATTTAATTATTATTGTTTTTTTTTTCAACCTACCTGAGAATGGATGAGAGAAAGAGATGTAGATTTGATTAATAAGTATATACAAGCCATAAGTTTATTTATTTATTATTTGTTTGTTTTTCAAACTACCCTAGAATGGATGATAGAAAGAGATGTAGATTTGATTAATTTTATTTATTTATATTATATAAAATAAGTTTATTTATTTAATTTATTTATTGTTTATCTTCAAACTACCCTAGAATGGATGATAGAAAGAGATGTAGATTTGATTAATAAGTACATACAAGCCATAGTTTATTTATTTATTTATTGTTTTTAGATCGATAAATAAGAATTACATTAGGTCGTATCGTTCAAATCTTTTTTTTTAGAATTTTTCGAAAATTTGTTCCCACTTTTCGCATGTTCATTCCAGCGCCACAGGCCTCCATTTTTTTTCCTTTTTTATTTATTATTTTTGCGAGGACACCATGTATCAGCATTAAGAAGACTGATCACATTCAATCGTGCTTTCCTTTGCAAGCATTTTCTGACGTCATCTGTTATTAGGTTTATCTCTCTCTCTCTCTCTCTCCTCTCTCTTCTTTCTCTCTCTCTCTCTCTCTCTCTCTCTCTCTCTCTCTCTCTCTCTCTCTCTCTCTCTCCTCCCTTCCCTCCCTCCCCTCCCTCTCTCTCTCTCCTCTCTCTCTCCTCTCTCCTCTCCTTCTCTCTCCCTCCCTCCCTCTCTCCCTCCCTCTCTCTCTCTCTCTCTCCCTCCCTCTCTCTCTCCTCTCTCTCTCTCTCCCTCTCCCCTCCTCCCCTCCCTCTCTCTCTCTCTCTCTCTCTCTCTCTCCTCTCCCTCCCTCCTCTCTCTCCCTCCTCTCTCTCTCCCTCCCTCTCTCTCCTCTCTTCTCTCTCTCTCTCCTCCCTCTCCCTCCCCTCTCTTCTCTCTCTCTCCCTCCCTCCCTCTCTCTCTCTCTCTCTCTCCCTCCCCTCCCTCCCGCTCCTCCCTCTCTCCCCTCTCTCTCTCTCTCTCTCCCTCCCTCCCTCCCTCTCACCTCCCTCTCCCTCTCCTCCCTCTCCTCCCTCCCTCTCTCCTCCCTCTCCCCCTCTCCCCTCCCTCCCTCTCCCTCTCTCTCCCTCTCTCTCTCTCTCTCTCTCTCTCTCTCTCTCTCTCTCTCTCTCTCCCTCCCTCCCTCTCTCTCTCCTTCCTTCCCTCCCTCCCTCCCTCCCTCCCTCTTCCTCTCTCTCTCTTCCCTCTCTCTCTCTCTCTCTCTCTCTCCTCTCTCTCTCCTCTCTCTCTCTCTCCCTCTCTCTCCCTCCCTCTCTCTCTCCCCCCCCCCCCTCTCTCTCTCTCTCCTCTGTCTTCCTCGCGTCCTGCTTCCAAACACACCATCCATCTTCTGTCCTCATTGGAGTCTCCCTCGAAATCCTTATTGATGTTGTATCGCAGTCTTTCTTGAGGTCCTCCTTGAAATATTTTTTCGACGTCCCGCTCGATGTCTTCCTTGATGTTTCCCTCAAATTCACCTTGAAGTCCTCCTTGAAGTCACACTAAGATGTCTTCCTTGAAGTCTTACTGATATGTGCTCCCATTGAAGGTCTTTCTAAGATGTTTCTCCTTGATGTCGCCCTTGAAGTCTTACTAAGATGTGCTCCTTGAAGTCCTTTTCGATGTCCTCCTCTAGGTGTCCCTCGATGTCCTCCTCGAAGTCCCCCTCGAAGCTGACACCCGAAGACCCCCTCAGAGACCTCGAAGTCCCTCTCGCAGTCCTCCTCGAAGTCCTTGAGACAGTCCTCGAAGCTTTCGAAATATTCCTCCTCGAGACAGGACACACAGCTCCCCCTCGAGGTTCTACTCTCGCTTGACCCTTCTTGCTTTAACTCTTTCTTTTCCTCTTCTTCTTCTTTTCTTTCTATCTATTCTTACGCTTCTTTTATTTATTTCTCTATTTCCTTCTCATATTCGTTATCTTTCTCTTCCTCTTCTTCTTCTTTCTTCTATCTATCTATTCTTACGCTTCTCTTCTTTCTCATTTTCCTTCTCATATTCGTTCTCTTTCTCTCCCTCTTCTTTTTTTTCTGTTATTTCTTCTTTCCTATTTGTCCTCTTTTTTTTCCTTTCCCTCTTTCCCTTTGCTTTTTCTCTTCATTCTTCTTCCTCTTCTTATCCTCGTCTTCCGCATAATCCTCTATTTCTTGTTTCCATTTTTTATCTCTTTTTTCCATTTCTTTTTATTAATTGTCTGCTCTTCTCTCCTTTGAAGGGTCTAAGTAGGGGGGAGAGAAGGGGGAAGGAAGGGGAGAAGATAGAAAGGAGAGAAGGAGAAAGGAGACAGAAGGGGGAAGAAGAGGAGGGGAGGAGGGGAAGAGGAGGGGAAGGAAGGGGAAGGGGAGGAAGGGGAGAGGAGAGAGAAAAGGAGGAGAGAAGAAGAGAAGGAGGGGAAGGAGAGGGAGAAGAGGAGGGAGAAGGAAGGGAAGAGGAGGGAAGTAAGAGAAGGAGAGAAAGGAAGAGAGAAGGAGGGGGAAGGAGAGGGAGAGGAGGGGAATGAGGCAGACCGAAAGAAAAAGAGAGAGGGAGGGGGGAGAGGAGGGGGAGGAGGGGGAGGAGGGGTAGGCAGCTGCTTGCCCTGCTTTTCCGATAATGCTTCAACTCCCCCCCCCCCCCCCCCCTCCCCCCCCCAACACCCAATACCTTTTTTCTTCTTCGTTTTTTTTGTTTCCTTCTTTTCTTCTCTTTCTTTTTTCTTGATTCTCGTTAACTCAGTTGAGTTTTTTTTTTTCTGTTCTTTATCCATTAACTTTTTTCGATTCTTTTTTTTTAGTTGGTATTTTTTTTTCTCTGTCCCTCCTTCTCTCTCTCTCTCTCTCTTCTCTCTCTCTCTCTCTTTCTCTTCTCTCTCTTCTCTCTCTCTCTCTCTCTCTTCTCTCTCTCTCTCTCTCTCTCTCTCTCTCTCTCTCTCTCTCTCTCTCTCTCTCTCCTCTCTCTCTCTCTCTCTCTCTCTCTCTCTCTCTCTCTCTCTCTCTCCCCTCTCTCTCTTTCTTTCTCTCTCGGTCTTCTTTTCTTCTTCCCTTGTTATTGCTCTTCTTTCTTTCTTCTTCCTTTGTCCTTCTCTTCTCATTTTTCCTCTTCTTCGTTACCTCCTTCCCTCGCCCCGTTTTTTACCTTCTTCGCACTTACACCTTTTCTTAATCGTTTTTCTATCCTTTCTTATTTCCTTTTCCGTCCGTTTTTATTCGTCTCTTTCTTCTTCCCATCATTTAGCTCTCTCTTTCTCTATCCGTAAATTTATCCGACTGTGCAATGCTTCCTTTCTTTATCTGTTTATTTATTGTTTATTATTTTATTTATTATTATTTTTATTTATCATTATTTATTATTTATTATCTTATTTATTAATATTATTATTATTTATTATTATTTATTTATTTATTATAGTATTTATTATTATTATTTAGTTATTATTGTTATCTATTCATTACTATTATTTATTATTATCATTAATTGTTATTATTATTTATTATTATTATTTAGTTATTATTGTTATCTATTTATTACTATTATTTATTATTATCATTTATTTATTATTATTATTTATTATTATTTTTACTCAAACTCCTTGTTTGGTTTTACCTCTT